CCATTTATTTGCCCAACTCACTAAATGATATAAATCCTTTTGTAAATCAGCAGCACCCTCTTCACAGCTAGCAACACCCAAGACTTTAATATAATCTGCAAATTTAAGTAATTTATTGAATATCCCTTCATCTATGTCATTGATGTAAATCAAAAAAGAGCAAAGGTCCTAAGAATGAGCTCTGAGGTACCCACTTGTGACATTAATCCAGTTTGACTGAACTCCATTTGTAACAACCCTCTGCTTTCTTCCATCCAGCCAATCTTCTATCCAATTTGCTAACTTATCCCCCCACACGTATAGAGCTAATTTTTTACAAGCCTTTTATGTGGCACCTTGTCAAATGCTTTCTGAATATCCAGATACACCAAATCTACATTCCTTACCCTCATCTACATAAGCAGTAACCTACCTTATTTCTCCAAAAACACTGCCTTCAGATAATGTAGCTAAGACCACATCTCCCTTCTCTCCTCCCATAACTTGAACCAATCCCTTGTTGACGATATACATTTCTTTTCCAATTTCTCCCTGAAAATGAAAAGAATACTTGTACATTTACCTCAATAAGTATTTTTTTATCAAGAACTTATCACTACAAAATTTCATTATTGTACTATGGAGCATAAATCAATAAAACCATTTCAATGAAATTTCTGCTATTAAACATTAATTTTAGTAAAATGAAAAAGCCAATACTTAAACATGTTGGGGGACTCATAATGGGAACCAATTCACTATTACAGTTCATACTGTGTTTTCTTTTGTGTACTTACTACATATTTTATGATAGCTTTCTTAATGACTTTGGTAAAAAAAAAATACAAATTTTAAATATGGTGCTTTAGTTACTGGCAAATCATTAAGCTTTCATAGTATTTGAAAACCTTTAATAGTACGTCATGTTATTCTTTTGCCTACCTTTTTACAGATGTAGTCTCCTGGAAGGATTAACATTGGTTTAAGTTTCAGCACTAGATCCCTCAGGAGAGCCTTGTCACAGTCCTGTAAGAAGAAACAAGTTAGCTGTGACACCTATTTTATGGACTCAAAAAATTATACTATCAAAATATTACTAATTTGTTTTTCAGGTATATTTCACATTGTCAAGAAATTATAAAGTAAATAGTATATGCATTTCTGCCATAGATGAAAAATGAAGCATTTTCAGTTGTTTTTTCTTGTGAAGATACTTTATTTGCTAAAATGAAAGAAAAGAAACAGAGAATACCACAGAATTATAATAAGTAAATCAAAATACATAGTTGTTTAAAATCTCATGCATCTTATTTAGAAAAAAATGTATCCTTGACAATAAGTAACTTAATATATAAAACCAAATTCTCATACCTTGAAAAGTTGAACCTTAACTAAAGTACTGTAATGAACATTGATGGCTACATCTGTTTTCATTTTCTTTGGTAATGAGTCTAAAATTTTATCTTCATCTGAAATGGTTAAACATAATGTCAATTACATTTAGTTTTAAAAAGGGTATTATTATTTTAGTAAATATATACAGATATATATTTTTAATTCATCAGATTAATCCACTTACAGCCTGATCCAAGAGGATTGTGGTTAACCAATGTAAATAGCCCAATTAAACCTCAAGTTATTTTTGTCAGATATTTTAGAAGAATGTTATTATTTTATGAATACTCAGAGTAAATGGAAAATAAGTTATAATAATAGAAAAATACTAATGTTTAAATATGTTACATCTTTTCAATACCTGCAAATTCTATTCAATTATTTTCATAACATGTCCAAACTTATTTGTCCGATATCACAATGGATTAAATCTAAATTAAGTCCAATAAATTTGTGTTATTACTCTAAAGTTCACAGTATTCCTATAAAAGAAGATTTTTCTAAAACAGGCTTTCCACTGGTTTGAGTTTTTAGTCACTCAAAACCCTTTCCCATTAATTTTGTCTATAATATAATTAAGACATTTGTCTTTGTACATAATGTCTGAAAAACTTGCGTAATGTTTTTTGTTGCTCCCAAGTGTGGTTTAACCACAGTCGTACTCTTCGTTGAAGGTCATCAGGTAAGTTTAGGTTACGCATGTATTGAACCATCTTGTCCATTACCTGATGATACTGAGTGGTGTTTTGGGTTGCTGTGGCAACAATATCACGTATCTGCAAATATAAAAACATTTACTACTTTCTTTCATTGTCAAAACAGAAATAAGTTTATCTCAAATTTGTCTCATCCGTTCTATATAGCAGTAAAGCCCACATTATCATCATCTGAAAACTACAATTCTTCTGATTCATAATACTTCCTGCAGTTGAGCTGGTAAGAATTTAGCAAAAATTAAAGTTAAAGCATTCAGGTAGTCATGACTTATAATAATTATTAGGCTCAAGCCCTAACATAGTTAACTTTTGATACTTATTGAGTCATGACTTGAGGTATTTAATAAAAGCAGTAGTCTGCAGATAGCCATGACAAGTGACATTTAAAGCTGTAGTCCTCAGTTATTTATCTACTTGTGACACTTAAGTTGAAGCCTTCAGATAGTCTTGACTTGTGATATTTATTAAACTGTAGCCCTTAGTCATAACTTGATATTTATTACACTGTAGTTCTCAGTTAGTCATGAACTGTGATGCAAGATAAAGAATTATATTTTTCTTGGCTATCATTCATTTATTATTCCTTCTATCATTTAGTTTATATATGGATTTTTAATTACATTAAAATGGTAACTCACCTTCTAGCTTATCACATTTATTTTGAGTAAATATGAATGTATTATAAAACTGACACCAGCTTCCCTAGCGGTGACATACAGATATTAGTAATGTAGCAAATGATTATGTAAATTTATTATCACATGAGATGTACTCTCATGACCTAAGCAGTGAATAAATACCCTGCCATAAACTGAGTCATGAGATGGTTAGTGATTTATTGCCAATTGTCACTCAATAGAAAAGTGATTTTGGAATTAGGTTTTTTTTCTTCTTCTGGTTCTTTCCTGATTCCATTATTTGAAATAAGTAATAGTGATATTTATGTTTTATTATTCATTAACTTTAGTATCAAGTCCTGGCCAGGCATGTATTTATGAACTGTATTTTTGGTAAGTGATAAATGTTATTCCAATTGTTGATACAGTTTAATAAATCATTTTTTGTTGAACCCTAGTTGTAGCAGCATGTTATTTTTTCAGATCATTACAGTGATATTTATTAAAAATTAAAAGGAAATAACTGTTAGTTAGCTTGAAAGCTTTAATTTTTTTAGATGCTTTGTAATATAAAATTTTAAAAGAACATCAATCAATTGTAGAGAGGTTCAGGAGGAGGAGGAAGTGCCCCCCCCAGGTATTCTGCATGTAGTCATAACATTTTTGTAAACCAAACCCCCACAGATAGTAAACATTTACTAGTCCTTTTGTTTAGGTAAAGGTTACATACTACAATGTTCATTCACAGAGCTCATGGAAACGTGGACTTACTTTGTCAAACTCCCTAGAAAGGAGGGTTTCTTACCCATTCCAAGGAGTGATACAGAAACTTGAACAAGTTAGTATGAGTTGGGGTCACATTCCATTACACATGTATTTAGAATTATCACTGATGTAGATAATATAAGGATTTTGGGATACAACACTAGAACCCTAACCTGATTTGAAAGTGTGACATTACATTCTTCATTTTTGTGCTTTTTTGGACATGATTGGAATGCTCTCTTTAGCCCCATCAGCCAATTTCAACAAGTACAAATTAAAATTGGCCAGAAAGTAAATATCAAAACTGTTAGTGAATAAAGATTTGTTTATTTGTTCATTTGTGTTTGCTGCCCCAGTTCATTATAACTATTTATATAACATTTTTGAAATCTGCAATTTGTAGATAAATGAACTTATATTTAAAACATCAATGTACTTAAATACCATATTCTTTAAGAAATATTTTTTTAAAAATCTGTTCAAAGTAAGTTGTGAAAAATAAACTTCATCTGACCAACCATGGATTAGATTTACAAAATACTAACTTTTATCTTTCTAACTACCACACTGATTTCAAAATGTAAACTTTACCTGACCAATCAAGAAAGCAAAAATAAAAACACCAGTGAGCCAGCTGAATGTCATAAAGATATATTCATATTCATTCTCTGGTTTAGGGTTTTTCCCAATAGAAGTTGCTGTTTTGGTAGCAAAATACATACATCGTACATATCTAGAGAAACAATTTTAAAAAATAACCTTTGATGTAAAACTTTATACCATATCAAAAAAATTATCTGTAAATATCTATTTAAAATAATTATACATTTTCTTACTATGTAAATTGAAAATATAAGACAGTGGTTATTACAAACAACATTCTAACTCCAGTCATCATTTCAGACTACTTAGTTCATCTTCAGTGGTTTACCTTAAAAACAATTAAGTCATTACGCTTTTGGAAATTAGTACAAATGAGGCTACTAAAATTAACATCAGCAAATAATATATATATATATATATATTGAAATCAATGCAAAATAATTAAATGCAGAAATAAATCAAAGAATGCTCTAATTGAGATAGGTTAATGTTTACTGATCAGTAAGTTTTCTAACTGATTATAATAACCTGATATTTTGGTTACTGTGACTGTCAAATATTATAAAATATTTCTTTGGCCTTCAATAAATTAAAGTTGTTTATTAACAAATGGAAATGAGCCATATAGCATTCTGTATAATAAAAAAAACTACATTGCCCCATATAAAAAGCTATTAAATATTATTTTAAATACATAGCCATTTCTAAGTATATTCTCTTTTGTTTCCACTTTAGACTAGTTAATTGTTTGAGAAGGTTTGTACATGAAAATGTTATTTAAATAAAAAACATACTATAAAATTAGCATAACTTAGATGACAGAATTACACTTACATACAAATTTAATTCTAAAGCCTCTTAATACTTACGCATTCCCATCACCCTGGAACACCCATTTGTTTGAACCAATCCCTTCCCACACAGACATGGCATAATAAGCACATGCATTCAAGTGAATGAGGTACATCATGTAGATTAAAGTTCGTAAAATCCTAAAAAGAGAAAAATGTATATTTGTAACTTTTTGAAATCATGTAGAAATGTCAATATAAATACTTTAATTTTTAAAATCTGAAATACCAGGTACAGTTTTCCTTAATAGAAAATATTCATGCAAATAGTTTCTAATGACAGTAATGATTAACAGCTAACATGTCACATGAGAATCATTTTAAGTACTTGATGATGTAAAATCTGGCTTGGCTTTGGCTAGTGATTAGAAAGTTGGTATGTAGATCTTAGGATCCAATGTTTTGAGCTATGATATGCTACTGAATGCACTTCAATGATTGGGATGTAATAAATGTGACAGTTAATCAATCCTGCTATTTGGTTATGAGTAGTAACACAAGTGGCAGCTGCTACTGACTGGTCAATCAGCAATTCAAAATTAGACAGCCTTGCATAGATCTTGGGATGTCTAATATTGTTGTTAAGTTATGTCTCACATAAAGCACCATTCAGTTTGAATATATCTGTGAAAAATGAAAGACTTCATACATGTCAGCCCTTAAGCATTACTACTTAACAAGTGAATATGGTTGTACCAGTTGTGTATTGTAGTACATTTATGAAAATGACAATATTATAAAGGTCTAGATTTAAGAATCTAGTTATCACATTGACTGTATGCTGTCCCCCTTCAAAAAAGTGTAGTGCCTATGAAATTAGAAACAAAAAAATCAATATCATATATATATACTAATTTCTTTTTAATATTCTTAGTTTACATCTGTAACATAAAAATAATAATGTCCACTTTATGGACACAAATTTAGTTTTCTCCCAAGGTAACAGTGATGTATACTTAAAAAAATAAAAATAAATCACCTGATAATGTATGGAGATTTTGCTACAGCATCCATTCTGTTGAAAAAATCCCAGAAAGTCTGTACCTGTAGAACAACAAAATAAATTTCTACCAGAAGCACAGTAGCTTTGTTAAACTTTGCTTCTACACCTCAAAGAGCAATCAAAAATAGTTTTTTCATTGCACAATAAACATTAAAACCTATAAGTAAGGTGAAATGTGTAAGAGGATGTCATTAGCTTTACGTTATTACATACAGTTGATATTTAAGATGGCTTAACTTTTTAGGTTAACAAAA